TGAATTTTGTGAAATACTGGGAATTACTCTGTAGGGAATAATTATACCTCCGACAGGAAAAGGAACAGATAGATATGCTAATGATAATGAGCCTTCTCTGTTGTTAATTTTTGTGATCCTATCACCCTATCATTCCAGCTGCTTCATAGATTGATTTCAAATCTACGTCTCACGCCATTATATTCAGCGGGAGGAATTTTCAAAAATGTCTAACCCGTTCCGACGCGTAAGGCTTTGCTGTATATGCAAAACATATACAATGTGCCTATAGACCTGAAATGTGATAAGAAATCCTCGGCTACCAGTTATCACCACATTGCGCACATCCCATCCACCACCCACCCTGCACTGAAACATGTGCCCGAGTTGCAGTCGAGCCTGCCGATCCTGCATTGGCCTCATCGACCATCTTCAGATCCACAGACAAGACCATCGTGAAAGAGAGTCATCCTCACCCGCAATGGCTTGCCAGTGATGAGTGTTCACCTCGCAGCAAGAGCATCACGTTTGCCTGGACGTTGTTAGTTGCCGATCTTCAACAGCAGAAAGTATCTCTGATACAGGGCAATAAACGCAGGGAGTCAGGGGAAGATCTAGGGGGATGTAGTGGCATGATCATCGGGGTAGGTCACGTGCTAGCAGCTCCAATGCCTGGGTCCCTTGTGGTGTCGGAGGCACAGCTGGAGCCCAGGGCTGGTGTGGGACCAGGGTGACCAAGCAGGGAGCAAGTGAGGAAGAGGGCACCCTTCACTGCCCCATCAGACCTGAGGCAAGGGAAGCCCCAAGACTGCTCCTGCCTCATTCCAGCTGGGGCTGCAGGGAGCAGCAGGTGTATCCCTGGCCTCTCACCCTCCACTCCATTCCCCTACTAGCTCAGAGGCTCCAGCTCCAGGGAGTAGCTGTGTGAGGTGCTGGTCTGGGCTGAGGACAGGAGCATCAGCAGATAGTTCCCCCTCTAGCACCAAGCCAGCAGGGAATACCCAGGGGGACTGGGCAGGGAGCAGGAGCACCTGGAAGGGGAGACCCATGCTCTGCTGCTGCTGTCCCCTGCCCAGCCCAACCCCAGCAGCCACATCTCAGTGGGGCAGAAGCAGCCCAGGGGTAGTGGCTGTAGCAGACCCTTCCTGGGCTTAGAGGCAAGCCTTGATGAAGAGGGTGAAGGTGCATGGGAGGGGAGGTGTCTGCACTGGGAGGGAGGGGATGCCAAGAGCTGCGGGGAGGGAGTCTTACCTGTTTCTGGGGCTCAAAATGGTCCCCAGAAGCTGCTGCCATGGCTCAATCCACCCACGAAGGAGGGAAAAAGGGCTGGGCTGAAATGATCCCTGCAGTGTTGGTGACATCTCCCGCACCCGCTACGTCTAATTCCTAGATACGCCCATGCGTGGAGTAGATGGCTTAGGACACGCACCTGAACAGTGCTCCTGAACAGAGGGCAGCAGTGTACATACGCTGTCCAGCTCTTTCCCAGAGTCATTCGCCAAGGTCGGCTGCAAACATTTCAAAGTGTGGTTCACTTCTAAAAACCAACCGTATCGAAATGACACCTTCCTTAGTGAATACCCTGAGTGCAAAGAGTCTGCCCAGGTGGGAGGGAGAGATGCACTTTGTGAGCAGAGACGGATCTGGAGAAAGCAGGAATAGGCGAGTGGAGAGACGAGCCTAGGGAAGTCGTACGTCGTTAAGCAAAATAAGACCTTCCTTGATCTAGTAGCGAATGCACCAGCCTAACGGCCCTCCAGTCTGCCACAAAACACTTACCTTTCAGTCCAGTCTGGAGACAAAGAAACTCACCAGCTGCTGCGAACCCTCGAGGATGCAGCGATAAGCCTGTTCAATGGTGATTAATGAACTTGGGTAGGAAACACCAGTCTTTGATCCTCGGTGGCTCCAATCCATGACCATGAGCTCTCCTCAGAAATGTGCTTTTGGCCCAGGAGAAACCAGCCTGTTGAATCATTAAACAGAGGCCCCGCGTTTAACATAGAGCCATTCCTCTTGGGAAGGTGGTATCCAGGGAGTGTGGCGCCCAAAGAGACCGCCTGGGTGGGACTGGCAGGAAGAGGACAGCAGAAAGGCTCCAGGCTCTTGCAAGGGCAGCGTTGGGACTGTTACCTTTTCACTGTAAATCCTTCTTTGTATGAAAGCCTGCACATCACAGAGTTGTTTCCATACCACGCACTTCATCAAGATACTACACTGCTCCACAATGGCTACAACCCAGTGGTTTTCAACCTTCTTTTCATTTGCTGTAGTTCCCCCGGCACCTCCCTGGGAGGTCTGTGAGCCCAGGCTGCAGCAGACATGAGGACCCCTAGCTCCCACGGGGGGTAGCATGTTATTTTTAGAATAGAATAATAGAAAACAAGGGCTGAAGGGAGCTCAGGAGGTCACATCTAGTCCAACCCCTGCTCCAAGCAGGACCAGCCCCAGCTACATTATCCCAGGCAAGGCTTGGTCTAGTTGAGCTTTAGAAACCTCCAAGGATGGAGATTGCACCACCTCTCTGGGTAACTTATTCCAGTGCTTCACCACCCGCCTAGTGAGAAAATCCTTCCTAATATCCAACCTCAACTTCCCTTGCTGCAGCTTGAGCCCATTGCTCTTTGTCCTGTCATCTGCCCCCACTGAGACCAGCCCAGCTCCATCCTCTTTGCAGCCCCCCTGCGGGGAGCTGAAGGCTGCTATTCAATCTCCCCTCAGGTTTCTCTTCTCCAGACTAAATAAGACCAGTTCCCACATCCTCTCCTCACATCATGTTCCCCGGCCCCCTAACTATTTTCATTGTCCTCTGCTGGACTCTCTCCAATTTGTCCACATCCTTTCTACAGTGGGGATCCCAAAAGTGAACACAGGACTCCAGATGTGGCCTCACCAGAGATGAACAGAGATGAAGAAACACTTCCCTCCATCTGCTGGCAACACACCTACCAGTGCAGCCCAGTATGCCATTTGCCTTCTTGGCACCAAGGGCACACTGCTGGCTCCTGTTCAGCTTACTGTCCCCTGTCACCCCCAGGTCCTTGTCTGCAGAGCTGCTGCCCAGCCCGTCACCCCCAGCCTGCACCGGTGCATGGGATTACTCCATCCTCAGTGCAGGACTTTGCACTTGTCCTCGTTGAACTTCATGAGATCCCTTTTGGCCCGATCCTCCAATGTGGCTAGGTCACTGAATCCTAACCCTACCCTCCAGTGTATCTACTATACCCCGCCCCCCAGGTAGGTGTCATCTGCAAATGGTAAGTTTAGTAAGTTTTTTTTATTTTGATTTTGTGGACAGCACCTGATTTTGTAGATTCTACAAAACTGCAAAGGAAGTAGGTCCCTGGTCGTGGTGGTCCCAGCAGGGTCAGCCTGGTACAGCTGCAGCAGAGGACGGTGGGAGGGGTTGGGGAAGAAGGGTCTCAGCAAGGTTAAGAGAAACCCTCAGCAGCAACAGCAGTAGGAAGGGGAAGAGGCCTCACTCCCTCCGAGAGGAAGAGGATGGCATGGGATACTACTCAGGGGGAAGATTCAGGAGCTGGCCGCTCCCGCTCCCAGGTCCAGCCAGTGCAGAAAGTAGCTCCGCTCTGCCCATGCTGGAGACAGGAGTTTGGGTGACAGGGACCTGTGGTCTCGCTGCTTATATTCTCTTTTTTGACCAAGTGCTTCTTTCAGTTACACTCACAAGTCTTCCAGAATAACTCCGCTGACGTCTGGCCATTATCTCAGGATCGACCAGGCTGGAGGCAGTCGCTCGGTAGGCAGGGGTCACGCCAGGTATCTGCTGCAGGCCAGATCATCATGCCAAGGGCTGAGGTGGTATCGTGTCAGGGTGGAAGGTAGGTCAGAGCCAAGAGGTCCAAACAAGGCAGGGGCAGGTGCTGTGGTGAGTCTAGGATCAGGCAGAAGCAAACAGGGACAAAACAGGAGAGAGGCAGAGGTCCGAGGAGCAAACACACGAGTGATGTTGCTGGAACAAGTCCCACAGGAAATAGGAGGGGGTTCACAGACATTCAGCTATAATGACTGCAGAACTAATGATATCTTTGGACTATTTTTTGCTTAGTTGGTTGTGTTTTTTTAAGCTCGATATATACTTTAGCAAATTAGTGCACATTCCAATAGTTGCGTTTGCTTGTACTTTGATCTTAAACTACATACAGAAGCAAGTTTAATCTTACATACAGAAGCAAGGCTGGAAGGGACCTCGAGAGATCATCTCATCCACCCTGGGATCAAACCTGCCCCCTTGGTGTCACCCCCCCAGCATATTAGCAAAGCTTCTAGTTTCTCTTTAACTAGAGAAAAATGCGTGTTGTGATATGTGTGATGATGCTGATGCACCACACCACCTGCATCCCCTTTTTCAAATCCTGGGTCCGCCCATAGTTGTGTCTCTTCTGAAACAGCTGAGCCAAGCCTGAGATATAATGGCCATAAATAGACGTTGCCACAAGAAGTGGATCCGCTCTGCCAATATATGTCCCGGCACAGCTGATCCATTTTATTGGGCAAAACAGATATCACCCAATGTCCTGCAGGGTCGGGATAATAGGCCACATCTCCTGATCCTGTGGGACAACGCTTCTGTGAACGGGGACCCCGGGTTCCCCACTTGCAGAGCTGCGCCCAGAGATCTCACCCTGGGTGCGTCTCTGCAAAGGGGAAACCCAGATAGGAAGCTGAGATTTAGTTAAACTAAGGGGAAGGGGAGGTTGAAGGGGGAAGGAGACCTGCTAGAAGCTGAAGCCTTGTTGAGCCAAGGTTTTGCATGAAGCCTTAGCAAGACAGTGTCAGGGGTACGGGACTTTTTGTCTATCCAACATACGGTGGGAAGCTGCATCCTTTATTTGGTGGGATGCCCACTCACAAGCATTGCTTAAGTGTCAGGCCTCGGAGTCAGGTATCCAGGTTGTAGTCATATTGGTCTAGAGGCAAAAGGAATCAAAACTCGTGGCAGAAGTGATATCTTTTATTAGACCAACTAGATATTTGCAAAAAAACTCCCCATTTTTCTTTATTGCAAGCTTTCAGGGACAGGCACTCTTCATCAGGCGGAGGAGATTGCAAAGATTGTAAACGCTCTCCTAGGTGGAAATGAAAACTCACATTTCACAGGAGAGCTGCAGGTGTGGTAATGTCTCCTGTTTGGAACAGGTCATTTTGTGCTGCTGAGGTGCAGAGCAAAGTTGGGAAAGTCTTTTTACCTTGAAGCGGTCTGGAGGAAGCAGAACTGTATTTCCTTCTGGTTATGGTGTTTCATAGTTCACAGAAGAGTGGAAAGAAGAAATGCTCTTCTGGGCAGGAATCTCTTTTGTGGAGAGGTATCTCTGTGCACTGTCGGAGTGCAAATGAGCTCAAACCAAGCCATCAGCTCCATCTTATGGTTAGCTGTGTTAATAGGGATGGTCCCGGGCGTGCTCCATGATCTTCATCAAAGCCGGCCACGTCTCCTCAGCCGTTGGGATGATCTGAGTGGCCGGCAGGAGGAAGCCGTAACAGCCGGTGTCCCGCAGCTCGAAAGTGTAGGAGTACTTGACACCAATATCATAGGTCCAGTCTATTGTGACACCAGCAGCTGGGTCTAAAAAAACCCCCACAAAACCCGGGATATGGAAGTGAAAATGAGGTTTGAAACAAGACTCAAGTGGAGAAGCTCAAATGCTGTTGATAACAGATGTAAAGAGGCTTCAAAAATTGTCCCTATGTGCACCTGGAATTTGCAGCTTGTGTGCAGTCCGACATTCATCTTCTCACGACTTTTCCCTCACCAGCTTTTCCCAAGCACCAGCTGAGTTTGCTGGTTGCAGCATCTGAGACTGCAACCAGCAAACTGATGAAGCTTGCAATTTATCTCAGGTCCAAAGGACTTGTGTCAGCTACAGAGCTTTGATCTCTGTGTGACCCGTAAACCACAAGCGTTGGCCCTACACAGGGGCATCTCACAACGCCGGGCCCTGCGGTTGGAAATCACCCAGAAGCACGCGGGTCCGACAAGAGCTCTGCCCATCAGTGCTTCAGAAAGCCCACCGTTCGCCACTACACTCACCGCTGAGACACGCGACGGGGCACACCTCGCCACGGGTCAGTCAATAGCAGTAATGCTGAGACCCAAGCCCTGGCGTCACCAAGTATTTAGAGAGGAAGGAGGAAGGTGTTTTGCTGCCCTGCTGGATAACTTACAAATGGTGCTGAAGACATTCCCATACTTGTACCGAGTCCCGTGTACTGCGGTTAAGGCTTCCACTGCCTCTTTGGCTAGAGCGTCCTGCAAACAAGGAGTAAGTGGTAAAAGGCTGGGAGGTCCTTGAATAGTCAGTGAAAGTGTCTTTCCTGTCCTCCCTCTCTGCCTCTGTTCAGGTTATAGCCATAAGGTGGAAACACTGCATCAGCCGATGGTTTTCCATTGGTGTTTCATCTAGTCTGTCTCTCAGACACACATGTACACGGATAAATTTGACTTGGGGAATGGACGTGGTCAATTTAAATCTTCCCAAGGGAGGTGGTGCTCTCTCCTACCTTGGGGGTCTTCAAGAGGCGGCTGGGGTGATATGGTCCCGGCACCCGTTCCTGCCCAGGGCAGGGGGTCAGACCTGATGATCTGTTTAGGTCCCTTCCAGCCCTAAGTACTATGATACTATGAAATCCTGTGATGGTTAGGTGGAGCTCATGAAGGCAATGAATGGCCTGCCCCTATTAGAGGAGGGAAGGGATACAGAACATGATGGAGTAGGTGGATTGCACACAATGGCCCATGAATCCCTTCCCGTTTCTACGAACGTATGAATGGGGAACAGAGAGGCCGGCTTAGCGTTAAAATGAGAGAGACCCATGAGATGATGGTGAGTAGAGAGCACCAGACACCACCAGTCCCTCCAAGGAGTTAACAGAGCCTATGGAGCCTCTCTTATCCCTCTCTCTGTCCAGATAACGGGTACATCGTGGCGCTCACACGACGCAGCTCATTGTGCAGCTTCTGTCACACTCTCTTATCCAAGTACCTCAGTGCTGACCCAGAAGGGTCAACTCCAGAGCAAAGAGGGAAGTTCAGCTCCCATGTCCACGCGTTCAGCAAACACGCTGCTGCTGCTGCTGATGTTCAGGGATCTGGGTTTTCCGTTTCCCATGGAAAAACGGAGAGAGCCACAAATTTTCCCCTTTGCCAGAGGAAAATGAGGATTTCGCATTTCCCAGAGAAACCCACGGATTTTGCAGTTTTGCAAGGAGCTCTCTGCAGGTGGGCAGAGATCCAGCCTGCAAGGGGCTGAGGGGAATGGGAGGAGGGCGGTCAGGCAGGGGCGCCAGGTGCATGTGCACAAGGCCGCCGGGCAGCCTGGAGAGCAGCTGAGGTGGGGGGAGACTGAGGCCCCCATAGTGAGGGAGGGAGCTGGGCAGGGCTGGGGCTGCTACCCAGACAGGCGGTGCGTGGGGCTTAGAGCCCATAGCCACAATGTGCATCCTCAGAGCCCCGGCAAGGAGCAGGACAGGGCTGCGGGTGGGTCATCTGGGGGCAGGAGGAGCCGGTTCCTCGCTGCTGTGTCCACTCCCAGGGGGGCTGGAGGTGGCAGGGGGCTGTGGGTGGGGGGCGAGGGGCACCAGCAGGGCTGAGGGGGTGTGAAGGGGGAGTGAGGGGCATGAGCAGGGCCATGGGGGCTGTGCAGGGGAGTGAGGGGCACGAGCAGGGCTGGGAGGCAGGGGGCTGTCGGGTGGGGAGTGAGGGGCCTTTCATTTTAATCACGGATTTGGGGGGTTTTATCAAAGAATTTGTGATTTTTTAAATCAGAAAATTAGTGATTTTTTTTATCACAGAAAACCAGGATCCCTGATGAGGAGGAGGACACCAACAAGCACGCTGAGTTTGATGAAAGCAGCCACTGTCCAGGTGGAAGGGGCTGACACCACCAAGTTATCCTTCCGATGGCAGTGGCTTTCAGTCACCCCTGCAGCCCAGGTTTGCACTTCTGAGCATCTGTCCCTCACTAAATCCCCTAGTGCCAAGTCCCCAGCACACAGCTGTTGAGCCCTCTCCCTAGATGTGTTAAGTGGGAGCTGTTCTCACCAGTTCCTGACGGTCAGGAGCAGGCTGAGATGTGTAGCTGTAAGGGTACATCAGCACTTGGGAGTAGCTGTGGATGGAGATCACGGCTGCCACGTTTCCATGGCCGAGGATGAAGTTTGCAATGGCCTTTGTTTCATTCTCAGAAAAAGGACAGGGTCCATGGTACGTTTGTGAACAGGGATTGCTGCTGGCACCAAGGCCTGCAATAAAACAGATGAGACCGAGAATTAAAACACAGCACCATGTTTGTGAAAAGCATGGGTATGACTGCTTGGGTGCGAGTGTGAATAACCAGAAAACTCATTTTGAAGAGTCCTGACATCCCTGTGGTTTAAGACCATCAGCAGTCAAACCCTTCTAGCCCAGCAGTCTGTCTCCAACAGTGACAGAAATGGGTGCTATAGAGGGAGAGCGCTGAACCGGGTCTCTCTAGAGTGATCTACACTCGGATGCTTATCTTGCTGGGATCATTTGACCCCAGCTGACTTCCTGCCCCTGGAGCAGGGGGCTGGACCTGATGACCTTGTGAGGTCCCTTCCAGCCCTAATGTCTATGAAATCTCTCCCCTATTCAGTATCCTCCCTAACGTTCACTGTTTTTGGTGTAGAAATACCAGAGGAAACATCTCCAACCGTTCTTGCTTCCTCGGTAATAAATAAGACAGCTGACGAGCTGCTAATTTATTCTTGCAAATATAGTCGAATCCTTTCGACCCCACGAGGCAGCATCCCAGCCATTCACAGGGACTGTGAACTCATAAGAACGGTTATGTCCTCAGTATATGAGTTAGGCATGCCTGATAGTAAGCAAAACTATTTTGCATGGTATTTTATCTCCTGCTGCTGCCAGCTGCTTTGTTTGGAAACCTTCAGTTAAGCCTTTTTTTTTAGTAAAATAAAACTGGCTGCTCCTCTTGCTCCCTGCCTGATCTCACTGGGACAAACCTGCAATACCCTAAACTGCTGACAAGGATGGGGTCGCCGTGGGCAGGATGCTGCCAGTGCTTCACGCTGAGTGTCAAGTGCTGCAAGGGAGAAGGGGCCCGTGCCATCGGGGGAGCCCGGGCCAGGGGATCCTGCCCACAGAGTGTCCTGTGCAGCTCTTCTCCAATATGGCAGTGTTGGGATGCAGGGACGTATTTGATGTGGCCAAGTCCTGGGACTCCTATGCCAACTGGCTCATCTTCTATCTGGAAACTGCATCCTTGAGGTTAGTCAGTGCTATTGACTCTTATGAGCTCACAGGCTTTTGGCGTTGCTTGCTTACTCATGTCCCAGCCCAACTTAGTGGCAAGTCCTATGAAGAAATCCTCACACTACAAAAAGTTCACTTTGCTCTGACTCCATCTGAAACAGAGGGATGGCTCCATTTTCACTCAAGCAAGCCAAAGGGATTGGAGCATACCCGGCAGAGTTGCCTCTCTGTCCAAAAACTGTAATACAGGGTCTTCATAAAGTCCTCATGCACTTTTAAACTTTAATAACTTAGACTGTTGGTCTGATAGAAACAATCTGTAAACGGCATTTAAAAGCCAAGCTTTAGGACAACTAGATTGCTAGACTTCAACTTAACCACCGTCCAGCGTGATACAGTGCTCAATCCGATCTTCCAGCTTCTTAAAAACGTTTCCCAGTTGCTCCTGAGTTACTGCACTAATTGCAGTGGTGATCCCAGCCCCAAGTGCCACCAAAGAGCGTGGTTTTGACAAGTAAACTACACTTTTAACATGTCCCCATGAACAGAAGTCCAACGGCGACAGGTCAGGTGAACACGGTGGCCAAGCAGTTGGTCCACCTCTGCCTAGCCACTTCTCTGGGAAAACGTCATTTAGGAACTGTCGTACGTTCAGAGCGTAGTGGCACAGAGCTCCATCTTATTGAAGAATAAATTCGTTATTACTTATGAAGTCTAGCATTGTGTACTCTAGTTGTCCTAAAACTTTAATCAATTTGCTTTTAAATGATGATCAAGCTGCTGATATGCAGACGATCAGTACCCAGGGAGAAGCCGTCCAAGCCAAGTGCCTACAATTTGGCACCAGAAATTTTCTAGAGGATTACGGAAGACTTACCAGCAGGACTAAAATGAATTGTTTCATATTTGGAGGATGTCCTTATTAGAGCAATCAATGTAAGAATCAGCTGTTTGACTGCAAGAAGTATTATGACGCATTGCTAGTGCTGGTCTAAAACTCAAGAGAGAGAAGTGTGTTTTTGGGGTAACTAATGCTGGGCTCCTGGGATTCGGAGTCGATGCAAATGGCATCCACTGAACTAATGCAAAAGTGGAAAGAATTCATGGCGCTCCAATGCCCAGGAGCAAGCAGGAACTGCAAGCATTCCTCTTAACTTCTACCATTATCTTCTACCATTCCTCTTTACAAGACGAGCCCATAGTTGCCGAGCCTTTACATCATCCGCTGGTGAAGGTTGCAGGGGAAGTAGGCTAAATGCCACAGTAAGGCCTTCAATGATGTGAAGCTATTGTTGCCATCGGACAGCATGCTTGTTCGTCATGATATGGAGAAGCCAATTCTACTTATGTGTGATGCGTCACCATGCGGAGTTGGGGCTGTCCCGAGTCACGTACAGAACAATGGATGCGAAGATCTAATTGCCTCCGAGCCCCGAACTACGAATACAGCCGAGAGGAATTGCTCCCAAATCGAAGAGGAAGGTCTGGCTACTGTTTCTGGAGTAAAGAAATTCCATGACTACTTATATGGCTGTAAATTAACAACTGTGATAGACCACACGCTGCTACTGGGTTTATTTACCGAGAAAAGACCCCAAATTATTTCACTGTGCATTTCCATTGGTCCTTACTTCTCCTTGCATATGACTGAAATTCATGACCACCCTGGAAAGTCAGTAACCAATGCAAATGCATTGAGCCAATTGCCGTCGCCTAGCCCTCAATTCGCTGTTCTTCCAGTGTCTCAAGTGAATCAACTCCTGATCCTCCTCTCCAGGCGGATGACATTGCTTGCATGGCTACTAAGGATCTAGTGTTAGCCCAAGTGCTAAACTGGGTATGGAAGGGGTGGCAAAGTTAGATGAATTCAGGACGTTCATTATACACCAGTATGAGTTTTCTGCCTATAAGGGATGTCTTCTATGGTGTAACGTAATGGTTACCCCCAGCGAAGGTTGTACATCACTCCATGATGCTCTTCGTGCTAGACATCTAAGAATCATTCTTATGAAAGCACTTGCCAGAAGCTGTCTGGGTGTCAAAGATGGATGCTGACACTGAGCAAACTGTAAAGAAGAGCAAACCCACGCCAAGGTATTCACCGTGCACCAGCTAAGGCTCCAGTCCACTCATGGGAGGTGACTAGGATGCCGTGGTCAGGTCTGCATATAGATTTTGCTGACCCGTTCCAAGGCCAGATATCCTCCATTGTTTCTGATTCCTTCTCCAAATGGCTGGAAGTTGTTCCAGTTGCATCCATGTCATCACGCACCAGAATCCAAGTTTTATGAAAACTTTTTCCCAAAGGATGGTCTTCCAGATACCATTGTGTCTGACAATGATGCACAATTCACTTCGGAAGAATTCAAGCAGTGACAGATAAGATTCCTCTCCATAAACATCGCATCTGCATCGTTCCACCACAGACAGGGCAAGCACATAGTCCAAACAACTAAGTATTCATTGAAGCAGTTTGCTGATGGTGAATGGGACCTACAGTGCACAGCCACACATTGGAGCCCTGCAGAACTACTGATGAAATGTCAATTGAAGACACATCTGGATACGCTTCATGTGGACCTGCCAAGGAAAGCGTGAAATCCAGTTCTCTCCAGAAGAGGCTACTTCACCTGTACAGACTTTCAAAACCTTTGATCTTCTGTGTATCTGAAATGATGCAACTGGGTGCCTGTAACTGTCCTTGAAGGCACAGGACTAGCGTCATACAGCACCAAGACTCCAGATGGCAAAACACTTTGCAGATATGCCAACCGGATGCAAGGCAGAGTTTTAGACAATGCGCAATCTTTCAACCCAGAAGATGTCCAGATGCCAGCAGGACCAGGTCTTACGTGTCCATCAGCTATTTTTCCAGAGCTGTTGAATCCTCCAGCTGTTGAAATGACTCATAAGGAGCCAAAAGAGCTGACTGCCATTTTCAGTGGGCCAACTCCAATCTCTGAATCAGGTCATCTGGGCAAGTCATCATCAGGGAGCAACAGGGCAACTATCTTTATTATAACAAAAATATAAGAAAAATATAAGAAAATATAGCAATATGATTAGTAGAGTCCCACACTAAGGCCATGTTGGCTTAGTTGTAATGGTGTCGCTGCACCCCCTCTGGATCCACCCCTGTGTAGTACCAAGGTAATTATAGATATTCTGCAGAGCTTACATGTGGCATATATTCGTGGGAGTTTTTAAGACCTGATTGATTAATGAACTTGCTGTCATCCAGGAATGTTAGCACATGATCTCTTCACTCACTAAACAGAGCAGAACCTATTATTCCACTGTAACAGAGACTAGTAACATATAATTCCTGCCCTTAAATCAGTGATTTGCAAACAGGGTGATGAGGCACCCTCGGGTGCCTTGAGATCCTTTCAAGTGTATCATGCAGTGCCAACATGATTCACAAGATAAACCCAAAGATTTTGACCTCTCGTGGCCTTTCTGAGATCTTTGCAACAGAAGAATCGCTCCATCATTTGTCTGTAGTCAAAAAGGGAATGAAAACTAAGATCTAGCATTTTCCAAGCAGTGCCTTGAAAGTATTTAGGGGGGCCTCAAGTCTAGAAAGGTTGGGAACCACTGCCTTAAATTAAGAAATGGTTTGAACTCCATCAATAGTCAAAACGTATGGGCTTATTGTATAAAAGAAAAGCAGCTGGGATTAACATGCCCCAGGGCTATTCCATACCTCCAAAACCTACACCCCAGTTTCTGTTGGGGTCTACACCCACGCAGAGACTTCCAGGGTTGATGGACCGGGTCTTTCGCCACAAACGGTCCTAGGAGCAAGCAGAAAGAGACCATGGGGTTGTGATAACAGCTGGGCCTCGACTCATTTTTATCTGTGCTCAGGTGTCACCCAGCAGGAGCAGAGTGGTGCAGTTTGTAGGATGCTGTTTGGAGGTAACGTCATTGCAGGCAGGCACCAGCTGAAGTGCCTCTGAGAGGAGGTCACCAGGGGTGTTTCTGTAGCAGTCTCTAATATTTTTGAACCTATATCCCAAATGGTGCAACGATAACTTCTTGCTCAGAGCATGGGTGGTTACATTTTCTCCCTGGTTTAATTTCAGTGAAGCCCCTTCGTTATGCAATAACTAACATGATTATTAGAGGCCCACGCTATGAGATCCTATACGGTAGAACCGTATGCTATTGCGGTACCAAGGTACTGGATTTACCCAAATGCAAGAAGGCCCTGAATTTAAAATGACCTGCCAATATTTAGATTCTATTCATGGAAAAATGATAAATTTGTTACAGTTTTCCATGTATAGAATCGAATTACTGGATGTCCCCACCACCGCTGCAGCAGGGAAAGCAGTGGGGGAGCAATGGGAAATAGGCAGGAAGAGGGCAGATGATAGGTGGAAGGCAGTGTGGGGGCACGTGGTGGGAGGGATGTGGTATGGGGACAAGCAGCTTGCCCCCTGCAGCCTGTCCTCCCTCCATATACCCCCTGCCATGCCTACCCCCTCATGCAGCCTCTCTTCCCCTCTACCCCCCCCATGCTTACCCTTGCTCTGGGGCCAGCCCCATCCCAGCCTGGGACACAGAGCATGGCTCCAGTCCAGCCTCATAGCAGTGGCATGGAGCCAGCACAGCTGCTACAGGGTTGGGCTCAGACCGCGCTCCATGTCCCGGGCTGGAACAGAGAAGCAGCCTGGCACTAGGGCAAGAGTAAGCAAAGGGGAGGATGAAGCAGAGGGAAA